GGAGCCCAGCAGGTTGGAGCTGCAGTGGCCGGGAGCGGCCACTGCACTCCAATCTGGGCAACAGTGAGACTCCAACTCAAAAACAAAAACAAAAAAAAAAGGCAATTTATTCAACAGAAACTTGAGTTTTACTCTATGCCTTAGGGATCCAATGGTCTTAGGGCGGGATCGGAGGTGGTTGCCAAGGGCTTATTGGGGTTAACTGCAAGAAACTCCAAAATTTTTCTCTGCGCTTCTGAAATACTGCTTGTTTGTATCCAAGTCTTGTCTAGACCATATTAAATGGAGTCATTAGGCTATTTAAAGCTTTCATGTACTTGAACCCAGAAACTTGAGTAACTTTTTTTATGAGAAGTTTCTGACTGAGAGACACTTGGCTGAAAGTTTCTCTTTTCTGCTTTCTTCTGCCATAATTGGAAAGGCCATTAAGAGCAACTTTTCCATGATTTGGAATTGCCAGTAAGGACAGGCTTCTAAGGACTGACAATTTATGAAAGACGGTCACTGAGATAACTAGTCATATTCGTGCAAAGATAATTATTTACACACCAAACTCTTCTAATAGAGTCACTGTTGGCCTTCAAATAACGTTTCTATCAACATTTATTATTTTATTTTATTTTAATTTTAGAATTGGGAGTACAAGTGCTTGCTTATTACATGCACCCATTGTGAGTCTCCGGTGGCCCATTCCCCAGATAGTAGGGGTAATTTCTGAACCCTAGTTCCCCTTCTGACCTTGCTCCTTCTTGGTATCCCCAGTGTCTATTATTTCCAACTTTGTAGCCATTTAGACATTTAATCTAACTTCAGTGCTAATTGTCCAAGACTGTTCTAAGTGATTTTTTTTAAAGAAGAAAGTCTTTCCTCTGCATATTTTATTTTCATTTCATGTGTTGTCTTTTAAAAATAACCATATGAGCATATAATTAAATCACTCAAACTATTTACAGTGTTTAGATTATAGCCCGTATACAAATTTATTTTATCAAGTCTCTTCCATTTTGTGACAATTTTGTTAACTTGTCAACAGATTCCACTACCAACTTCTCATCAATGTTGGTAAACATTTTCAGAATTTAAATTTGCCCACAGTAATTAATAGGCATTAATAACTTGAGCTCATTTTTAAATACCCAAAGTCTGCAATGCCTTGGTGTATGCAAAAGCAAGCAGGTCAGGCCCATCTCCTGCTGGGCAAACTTTTTGTCACTGGTTCAACCTTTAAAGGGAGACAGGATTTTTTACCTGAGCTCTCTGGATATTCTGTGAATATCCTAAAATTGAGTACCAAAGTTAGTGTATGTGGATTTTCACATAACTTTTACCAAAAGAAGTTTGTGGCATGATGGATAGGTATAGTATAGTGGGCCCTATGGTCACATTGCTTGGATTTGTGTGCTGTTGTGGTTCTGAACGTTACCCCCCAGTATGGCATCTTGGCATACTGACTATTTTAAGCAGAAGGAATTGGAGAAATGGCAGCCAAAGGAAGTAGTCTGTGACCTTCCCCAGAATCAGGTCATGAGACCCTCATGTGAGAGGTGCCTTCCTACACCTGGAAGAAAGGAGCATCTTTCTGAAGAAGAAAGGGACACTGAGAGGACAGGCCTTGCTAATTTTCTCCAGTTTGCTTTCCTTGGCTCATACTGCTTTGTCCTACCACAGCTTTCCAAAACCTTCCACTCTTCATCTAACTCATTATACATAAATATATATTTATATTCTCAGATTTAACCATTTTTTTGCAGGTCTTCATTGCCTTATGCAGGCTTCTCTTACATACATTTGTATGCTTTCCTTTTGTTAATCTGTCTTTTGTTACAAAGCCCCAGCTGAGAACCTAGAAAAGGAGAAGGAAAGGATTGTTTTCCTCCCCTATAATCCCAACTTGACTGGCTGATTTCAAACAAGTTACTTAACCTCTCTCTGCTTCAATGTTCTCAAAATTACAGAAATGATCTTATAAGACTGCTGTGAAGGTTAAACATAATTTTGTGTGCATGGAAAACTCATAATGCAGTGGCAGGAACTTAGTGAGTGCTCACTAATTGTTAGCAATTATGTGATACAGTCTGCCCTCCCTCTTCACAGGTTCTACATCTGCAGATTCAACCAAACTTGGATAAAAAAAATTTGAAAAAGCCAATAATAAAAAATAACAATACAGCAAAAAAATTTAAAAATATAATATAGCAACTATTTACATAATACTTACATTGTATTAAGTATTAGAAGTAATCAAGAGATGATTTAAGGTACACAGGAGAATGTATGTAGGTTATATGTAAATACTGTACCATTTTATATCAGGAATTTAAGCATCCTTGAATTATGGTATCCTTGAGAGTCTGGTGACCAATTCCCTGTAGGTAGCAAGGGGTGAATGTATTCCCAAAGAAATCGTAATCACCAAAAATTTAAGAGACACTGACCTAAGATATTAGAATTTTGTTTTAAAGAAAAAAAATCAATACCTGAGTTGGGAAGCCATGCTCAAGCCTAATTCTAAAAAAAAAATTCATTAGCAAAATAGAGAGATGTATACAAGTAACGAGGCATAAAAATAAAAATCTTGTTAAATAGCTTTGAAAATGTGGAAGGTCAATTTATGTTGTTTTTCCATGAGAGAGAAAGAATCTATCTGGTTTCAGGTTAGCCACCAAAAGAAATACTTTCAATCTGCTTCTGGCTGCTGTACCATCCAGGCCTATCTTGAACCCCTGAAATACATTTCAAGGGTACACCTAAATTGTAACTCTATGACTGTGGGTGCTTTCTCAGTATTTTCTTTTTCAGTTAGTATGGAAGTCAAAAGCAACGAGATTCTGCATCTTTTAATGAAAGATAAAACAACAATATAAACATACACAAATTTACAGAGAAGGGATCAACTTTAATACATTTGGAGTAAAAGGTGTATCTTCTTTAAATATGGTATAAAAATAAATGCAAGAAACATTAACTGAGAATATACAGACAACAGACACAGACATGAGCTTGTTTCTGACTGTGGATACATAGGAGGAATGAAATTTTCTGTGCTAATTTATTGTTTGATAAATGTGAAGCCATATGTATACTTATTGATATATGCTTTTTTTCTTTTACAATTCTTCCAGTTTGTGACTGACTGAATTTTCAGTAAACTGTGTCTAGCAGAAGCTTTGGGGGGGGGGGGGGGGGGGGGGGGGGAAAG